TTCATGGGGTTCTCAAGGCAAGAATACTGAAGTGGTTTGCCATTCCCTTCTCCAGTGGACAGTATGAAAAGGCAAAAAGATAGGACACTGAGAGATGAACTCCCCAGGTTGGCAGGTGCCCAATATGCTACTGGAGATCAGTGGAGAAATAACTCCAGAAAGAATGAACAGATGGAGCCAAAGCAAAAACAATGCCCAGTTGTAGATGTCATGGGTGATGGAAGTAAAGTCTGATGCTGTAAGAGCAATATTACGTAGGAACCTGGAATGTTAGGTACATGAATCAAGGCAAATTGGAAGTGGTCAAACAGGAGATGGCAAGAGTGAACATCGACATTTTAGGAATCAGTGAATTAAAATGGACTGGAATGGGCGAATTTAACTCAGATGACCATTATATCTACTACTGTCGGCAAGAATCCCTTAGAAGAAATGGAGTAGCCATCATGGTCAACAAAAGAGTCTGAAATGCAGTACTTGGATGCAATCTCAAAAATGACAGAATGATCTCTGTTCACTTCCAAGGCAAACCATTCAATATCACAGTAAACCAAGTCTATGCCCTGACCAGTAATGCTGAAGAAGCTGAAGTTGAATGGTTCTATGAAAACCTACAAGACCTTCTAGAACTAACACCCAAAAAAGATGTCCTTTTCATTATAGGGGACTGGAATGCAAAAGTAGGAAGTCAAGAAATACCTGGGGTAACGGGCAAACTTGGCCTTGGTGTACAGAATGAAGCAGGGCAAAGGTTAATAGAGTTTTGTCAAGAGAACGCATTGGTCACAGCAAACACCCTCTTCCAACAACACAAGAGAAGACTCTACACATGGGCATCACCTCAGTACTGAATCAGACTGATTATATTCTTTGCAGCCAAAGATAGAGAAGCCCTATACAGTCAGCAAAAACAAGACTGGGAGCTGACTGTGGCTCAGATCATGAACTCCTTATTGCCAAATTCAGACTTAAATTAAAGAAAGTTGGGAAAACCACTAGACCATTCAGGTATGACCTAAATCAAATCGCTTATGATTATACAGTGGAAATGACAAGTAGATTCAAGGGATTAGATCTGATAAAGTGCCTGAAGAACTATGGATTGAGGTTCGTGACATTGTACAGGAGGCAGGGATCAAGACAATCCCCAAGAAAAAGAAATGCAAAAAGGCAAAATGGTTGTCTGAGGAAACCTTAAAATATCTGAAATAAGAGGAGAAGCTAAAGGCAAAGGAGGAAAGGAATGATATACCCATTTGAATGCAGAGTTCCAAAGAACAGCATGGAGATATAAGAAAGCCTTCCTCAGTAATCAATGCAAAGAAATAGAGGAAAACAATAGACTGGGAAAGACTAGAGATCTCTTCAAGAAAATTAAAGATACCAAGGGAACATTTCATGCAAAGATGAGCACAATAAAGGACAGAAATGGTATGGACCTAATAGAAGCAGAAGATATTAAGAAGAGATGGCAAGAATACACAAAAGAACTATACAAAAAAGATCTTCATGACCCAGATAACCATGATGGAGTCATCACTCACCTAGAGCCAGACATCCTGGAATAAGAAGTCAAGTGGGGCTTAGCTACTTACTTACAAACAAAGCTAGTAGAGGTGAGGGAATTTCAGTTGAGTTATTTCAAATCCTAAAAGATGATGCTGTGAAAATACTGCACTCAATATACCAGCAAATTTGGAAAACTCAGCAGTGGCCACAGGACTGGAAAAGATCAGTTTTCATTCCAATGCCAAAGAAAGGCAATGCCAAAGAATGCTCAAACTAGAACACAATTGCATTCATCTCACATGCTAGCAAAGTAATGCTCAAAATTCTACAAGCCAGGCTTCAACAGTATGTGAACTGTGAACTTCCAGATGTTCAGCTAGATTTAGTAAAGGCAGAGGAACCAGAGTACATCATGAGAAACTCTGGGCTGGATGAAGCACAAGCTGGAATCAAGATTGCTGGAAGAAATATCAATAACCTCAGATATGCAGACGACACCACCCTTATGGCAGAAAGTGAAGAGGAACTAAAAAGCCTCTTGATGAAAGTGAAGGAGGAGAGTGAAAAAGTTGGCTTAAAGCTCAACATTCAGAAAACTAAGATCATGGCATCTGGTCCTATCACTTCATGGGAAATACATGGGGAAACAGTGGAAACAATGTCAGACTTTATTTTTGGGGGCTCCAAAATCACTGCAGATGGTGATTGCAGCCATGAAATTAAAAGACGCATACTCCTTGGAAGGAAAGTTATGACCAACCTAGACAGCATATTCAAAAGCAGAGACATTACTTTGCCAACAAAGGTCCGTCTAGTCAAGGCTATGGTTTTTCCAGTAGTCATGTGTGGATGTGAAAGTTGGATGGTGAAGAAAGCTGAGCACCAAAGAATTGATGCTTTTGAACTGTGGTGTTGGAGAAGACTCTTGAGAGTCCCTTGGACTGCAGGGAGATCCAACCAGTCCATCCTAAAGGAAATCAGTCCCGAGTGTTCATTGAAAGGACTGACGTTGAAGCTGAAACTCCAATACTTTGGCCACCTCATGTGAAGAGTTGACTCATTGGAAAAGACCCTAATGCTGGGAAGGATTGGGGGTAGGAGGAGAAGGGGACAACAGAGGATAAGATGGCCGGATGCCATCACTGACTCAATGGACATGGGTTTGGGTAGACTCCGGGAGTTGGTGGTGGACAGGGAGGCCTGGCGTGCTGCGATTCATGGGGTCGCAAAGAGTCAGACATGACTGAGTGACTGAACTGAACTGAACTGAACTGAGGAACCAGAGATCAAATTGCCAACATCCATTGGATCATCAAAAAAGCAAGAGAATTCCAGAAAAACATCTACTTCTGCTTAATGACTATGCCAAATCCTTTGACTGTGGATCACAACAAACTGTGGAAAATTCTTCAAGAGATCGGAATAGCAGACCATCTGACCTGCCTCCTGAGAAATCTGTATGCAGGTCAGGAAGCAACAGTTAGAACTGGACATGGAACAACTGACTGGTTCCAAATTAGGAAAGGAGTAGGTCAAGGCTGTATATTGTCACCCTGTTTATTAAACTTATATGCAGAGTACATCATGAGAAACGCTGGGCTGGAGGAAGCACAAGCTGGAATCAAGACTGCCAGGAGAAATATCAATAACCTCAGATATGCAGATAACATCACCCTTATGGCAGAAAGGGAAGAACTAAAGATCTTCTTGATGAAAGTGAAAGAGGAGAGTAAAAAAGTTGGTTTAAAATTCAACATTCAGGAAACTAAGATCATGGCATCTGGTCCCATCACTTCATGGCAAATAGGTGGGGAAACAATGGAAACAGTGATAGACTTTATTTTCTTGGGCTCCAAAATCACTGCAGATGGTGACTGCAGCTCTGAAATTAAAAGACGCTTGCTCCTTGGAAGGAAAGTTATGGCCAACCTAGACAGCATATTAAAAAGCAGAGACATTACTTTGCCAACAAAGGTCCGTCTAGTCAAAGCTATGGTTTTTCCACTAGTCATGTATGGATGTGAAAGTTAGACTCTAAAAAAGTTGAGCACCGAAGAATTGATGCTTTTGAACTGTGGTGTTGGAGAAGACTCTTGAGAGTCCCTTGGATAGCAAGGAGATACAACCAGTCCATCCTAAAGGAAATCAGTCCTGAATATTCATTGGAAGGACTGATGCTGAAGCTGAAACTCCAATACTTTGGCCACCTGATGGGAAGAATTGAGTCATTTGAAAGACCCTGATGCTGGGAAAGATTGAAGGTGGGAGGAGAAGGGGATGACAGAGGAAGAGATGGTTGGATGGCCTCACCGATTCACTGGACATGAGTTTGAGCAAGCTCCGGGAGTTGGTGATGGGCAGGGAGGCCTGGCGTGCTGCAGTGTTTGGGGTCACAAAGAATCGGACATGACTGAGTGAACTGAACTGAAATGAAAGAACATTTTGAACATAAGCAATAGCTATTATAAAGAAACTAAGCAAAATAAAAACTGCGACAAGTGTTAACTGCAAGAAAATCACAAAGTCAGAGGGAATATACTTATATAATACTATTTTTCAGCAGTAAATGATATTTACAAAATCATAAAATAAGCATTTGCAACAGGGATGAAGGAGGCTCTGCTGTGTCCCAGGATGTGGGTCAAGTCACAGGGTTGTATGGTTGTATGGTTTCACATTTGACTACTAATTTTTAAAATCACGTCTACACTTATATGGGAATATGAGAAAGGGGAAATGTAAGAGATGTAACACCTCAATTATCATGGAGAAAATCAATAGATGGTATCTGTCAAGTCCATGCATACAAGGCAAAGCAAAGTCAAGACCTAACTGATTTAACCAGTAAAGATGTAATTAGCCACCTTGAGACTCAGACAATGTTTTACTCACATAGACAGCAAAGGAAGAAGCCAAAGATGCCAGTTCCCTGTGCTCCTGGTCCCATACACCAAACAGTCAGACAAACTGAAACAAAGGGGGTTAGATGACTGAAACATGAACTGTGGGATGCACATTAACTGTGGGCCATTTCTAGACTGTGGCTAAGCAGTTTTATACTCTGTAGCTCTATTCTGAGGTGTGACAGTTCAGTGATTTAGAAAACAGAAGTAAGTAAGGACTGTTTTCTAGATCATAACCAGAAACATCAAAGAGATAAAAAGATGGGATAAGAAAGAAGTGGCAAGAGTCCAATAGTAAGAATTCTGGAAGAAAGTGAAGAGAGTGACAAAAAAGTAATTTTTTTCAAAGAATATGTGAGAATTTTCCAGAAATGAGATAACATCAAAAACATTATCAAGAGAATATCAAGAATAAATTTTCAAGTTTTGAAGTCAAGAGACAAAAAGAACTGATTACCTAAAGCCTGGGCATGTGGAGGCAAGAATACTGGAGTGGATAGCCATTCCCTTTTCCAGGGGATCTTCCCAATCCAGGGATCAAATTTGCAGACAGATTCTTTACCATCTGAGCCATGAGGGAAGCCCATTATGAGATGGCCCCTAGTAAATCCTTTCAGTTGGATTAAAAAAGGGAGTATGGACAGCATTCCACAGGAGCAGATTAACTCAAATCATCTGCAACAAGGCCTAGAAAGAGAGGCAAGTCTCCAAAAGAATTATGGGTACAATGTTGGACACACAGAGTTGACTGAAATCAAACAGTTCTTAAAAAAAAAAAAAAAAGGCAAAGTTTTCAAGAAAATTGCATCATCAAAAGAACTACCAACCTGTACAAAAAGAAACTGTGACAGTTTAGGATATAAAATGTCCTTTGAGTCCACACCAGAGAGTGAGTGCCTCCCTAAATTTTGTTAATGAGATTTAAAGAATTGTTAGCACAGAAAAGCTGACTAATACATTATGGAAATGTTCTAACATAAGCAAAATAAAGAAAATAGTATAATGATTCTCCCGAAACCCATTATAGAAGCTTCAATAATCAGCAGCATGTAAGTAATGTTATTTCAGCTCTAGCCCCACTCACTCCTCCATCTTTGTCTTAGATTATTTTGAAGCAAGTCCAAGATTCCTTATTATTTACACTGTGAATATTTCAGTACACGTCCAGAACAGCTAAAGGCTCTCTTTAAAAATAACCAGTGTCGTTATCACACATTTTTTTTTTTGCCTTGAACCTATTCTTTTTTAAAATGGTAGTTAAAAAAAATACATAACTTAAAATTTACTATCTTAGTCATTTTTAAGCATACATTTCAGTAGTGTCAAGTATTTTCACCTTATTATAAACAGATTTCCAGAACTTTTTCATCTCACAAAACTGAAATTCTATATCCATGAAACAACAGCTAATCCCTGGTAACCACCAGTCTACTTACTGTCTCTATGAATTTGACTATTTTGATTACTTCATATAAGTGGAGTCATACAGTATTTGTCCATTTGTGACTGGCTTACTTCACTTAGCTTAATGTCGTCAAAGTTTATCCATGCTGTGGCACTGCATATTCCACTCTGTGTATATACCACATTTTGTTTATTCATTCATCAGTCAGTGGATATTAGGGTTGCTTCCACTTCTTGGCTATTGTATCACACTGAAAATGTTTTTATCAAGTTTTTGCAAGTTGTATTTGTTCTATATATCTTTTAAGTCTCTTTTAATTTGTAAGGTTCTTCCTTTTTTATTCTTCATATATACTTACATTATGTATATTAAATATTATATTTATTAGATGTTAAATACATTTAAAATTCTATTTCTCTATTATATCTATTGAATTGTATCTTTTTTGTAGAATTTCTGGATTTTGGTCTGGATTTTTCTGATTGCCTTTTTGTATATTCTTTACATCTTTTTGGTACCCTGTACTTCCTGTCAATCAGTAACGAGATACAGAATTTTTATATGATTCAGGTTCAGCTTTCGGCCAGAATGCTTAATAGACAGTGTTGTAGACTTTCATCAGGAGGCATGTTATATCCGAATGCCTCTCTCTGTGATTTTATTGGCCATAGATATACCATGATTGATTCAATGACTCTTACTAACAGACAAAACAGGATAGAATTTAAGGTAAAAAGCATTATAAGGATAAAAGTGGGACATTTCATACTGATAAAAGGAACAATTTACCAAGAAGATGTAATAACTGGGAACCTGAATGTTTTCAACAACACAGTCTTGAAATATATAAAGCAAAATCCAAAAGAGTTACAGAGAGAATTTTACAAATCCATAAAGATATTTTCTCGATATGTATCATAAAATATGGTTAGCAATATCTCACCCAGGGTCTCAGAATGCTTTGAAGATGCAGCCATTGCAGACTGACTTCCTACTTCTAGTCCTATCCATCCAATCCATTCTCCACACTGCAGCCAGAGTGATTTCTCCAGAGCACACACTGGACCATGCTTAGAACCCCGCAATGACTCCACAAAGTGCTAAAAGGCCTTTGTTGCTCTGGCTCCACATTTGTCCTAGCCACCTTCCTCACCACTCCTGCTTTCCCCTGTCTTCCCACCAGTCATGCTGTACTGGTGTGCAGATCCTCAGAATGAACCACGGTTTCTCCTGCCTTGGGCTTTTGCATATGCTATTTCCTCTACCTGGACGCTGCTCATTTATCCTCTTCTCCTCCTCCCCTTTTTTTTCTGCTTCTTCAGGACAACTCCTTCTAATCATTCAGGGCTCAGCTCAGGCATGACCTTGTCCAGTGGTCTTTCCTGGCTCCTCCAGATGGGGTCTTCACTTAGCCACCACTGTTCCCTAACACAGAATGTATCAGCCTGCTGGCCTCAGGCCTTTCCTTTCTCTACTCTAGACTGGAAGTTAATCCTGAGAGGCCAGGATTGTGGATGTTTTTGGTTATTGTGTTCTCAATCCCTAGCACATGCCTGATATACAGAGAAGCTCAATAACTGTTTATTAAATAAATGAATAGTGGGCAGCGGGAAGAATTATATCACCAGGGAAGAACAGAAGTCTTAAGACGGTCAAGAAACAATTCAGAATCAGATGGAGGAAAACTTCTTAAAGTCTGGCCTCTTAACCAGAGCTCTGGCCCCAAGGTCTCATGGAACCATAAAGAGCTGCCTAAAACAGAGCTGCCCATGTCTCTCACCTGCAAAGGAAAAAAAAAAAAAAGATGATCTTTGGGAGACTTATAAGCAAAGCAGTGCAAATGGGAGCTTCGTGGAGTTCTTCATCTAGGAGAGTCAGTAAGCTGGGTGGTCAAAAGTATGTAGGATGGTGGGAGGTAAGCGTGTTCCTAACACTAGCCCTGCCCTCCTGGGCTTCTTCCCCCCAAAATCCGCATTCAGTATGTGCTCAGGTGACCCTGGAAAGGGGCCTGCCTTCCCCACCCCTCTCCACTGTGCCCTACAGGGTGAAAGCGGGCTTTCTGCATCGGAAAACTCCATCCTGGGATGGGGGAGGATACTGGGGGGGCGGGGGGGGGGGCGGGGACAGTGCAGAAGGGCAGGGGGATAACAGATGAGGCTAAATTAATTTTGGAAACCATTAAATCTTTGAAATGAGAGCGTGTTTTCAGCAGGGACAGTGAATCACTGTGATTTGCAGAAACAGGCACAAAGCAATTAGCCATCTGGATGCTGTGGCTTCCAGTCCCCCCAGCGGAAACTTCAAGTGAGCGGAAGGCTGGTCATTACCCAGTCCAGACCCAGCTCTCCAGTCCCCACAGATAAGTCTGTGCCTCGAGCCAGCTCGGAGCCCAGAGGCCTAGGACAAAGGGCAACTTGGCAAGAGTCACAGAAAAAATGGGCAGGAAATGCAACACCAGCCACAGGGAGCCAGCACTACTTCCTTCTTCCTGTGAGCTCCCCTCAAAATCCATTCTGATGGAGTAAATTAGTTCATCCACTCAACACGCATTTGTTAGTCACCTACTATCTCCCAGGCTTTGTGCTAGCACATAGATTACATCACTACACACACATGAGGCGTTCCATGGGTGGCACAATTTCAAGGGGATCCATAGTAGTCCATGTGAACAATACTCCCGGAAGTTATAAAGCAGAGGAGCCTTGCTGGGAGAGATTATCACCTTTTTTAATTAAACAAAACAAAAAACCACCCATTATAAAGAAACTGTTATCTTTTTTAGTCAATGAGGAAATAAAAGCTGAAAGAGAAGGCATAAACTTGCTCAAGGTAAGTTGTACGATTAAGAATGGAACTCAGAATCCCGTGCCCTTTCCTAGGTGAGCCTTATTTGCCAATTGTTACTCTATCTGGCTCACCAAGTTGTGAGAACCAAATACTACACAAGGATGTGAATAGATTTATAAAGTGCCATACACAGTGGGGCTATTTTTATAAGGCAGTTACACTTCCACCTCCGATGCCCTGCCATCCTCAGGCACTGCTCCTCCATTCATTCCTAAAAACTGCCAGGGAACACTGGACAAACCGTTCCAGGAAAAGGGTCAGCAAGCTTCTCCAGAAGGAAGGAGCATATACAACTAATCAGAAAGAGGGCTTCCACTCAAGGAAGCCTTACTGGTCTGAACTGTGCTGTGATTCACAACCAGCAATGGTTCTGGCCTGCACCGTGTGTGGCAAAAAGGCTAAATGGAGCAAGATCCTGCCATAGGACCCAGCTTCCAGCAAAGGGAGAGAAGCCAGGAAGGGAGACACCATCTAGACCGACCAGAAGTGCCCAGGTTCTCTCGCCTGTCTGTGGAGGTGGGACCGATGACCAGCCACTTCCTGCTCCGTGTGTGGGTAAAGAGTTGCCTCTCCAGTGCCTCAGCTAAGTGCTGCTTCACCCAGCTCAGGACTCTGCTGAGGTTTAGGAGGCCCCAGATCTGGAAAGTCAGAGGGTTTTCATTTGCTGTCTGCATCTGCAGTCTCCCCAGCTGCTGCTAGGAGTACCAGCTCTCTGACTAGGGAAAAGCTGAGGGGCATGCAGAGAGCCCAGACCTGGAAAGGATTACCTGGATGAGAAGCCCAGCTCTGCCTCTCCCTGGCCAGCACTCGGGTGAGGCTACCGACATCTCCCCTCGCTTTCTTCATGTTTAAAATGGAGTTAATGCTTCTGGCCTCACCAGGATGGTGGTAAGGCCCGAATGAGATCACAGGTGCCCTTGGGGAACAGGCAGGTAATGGAACTAGTGAAGAGAGTTTCTGCAATCAAGTTTCCTGATTTACCATGGCTGCCACGCAGAAGGCAGGCTCAGGGTTGCCAGATCTTTCTATTTGTCAAGAAAAATCAGAAGTCTGGATTTTTTACATGAACTTGTTCAACTGTCAACAGCTGGTGAGGGCAGAACAGAACATACCTGCTGGTGATCAATGCATGAACTCAGGTGATGTCCACTTGCCTACTGGCCTCTGGGCTCACTCTGTATTAGTTTCCTTCCTCCTCTCCCTGCTCTGCTTCTGGTTGGCACCGCCCTCCCCAGGTGGTTACTGTTACCACACTGTAAACTGAGCTGAGGTTGGCTCAGCCCTGGCTGTGGCCTGAACCCAAGGCCCTGTAGCTGAGCGAGGACCTGTGTTCTCAACAGAAGCAGGCCCGGTCCCAGACAGCCACCTGGAAGGCCCACCAAGCTTCTTCCCCAGGAGGGTGAGGTCAGGATGAGGAACATGGATCTTCAGCCACAAAATGAAGGAATGAATGAAGGAACAAACAAGCCACTACTGCCTGAGGCAGAACTTTTCTGGGCAGCTGAGGGGCAGGATCAAAGACTCTGCTCCCCTCAGTCCTGTTGATGGAGCTCCTAGAAGGCCTTTTGCAAAGGTGGGCAGGGCCTTGCGCTGGGAGTCCTTGAGGAACACACAGGCTCAGGGTCAAGCGAAGCCAGCCGCCTTCCATCCTCCCATCTCCACT